AGGGTGACTTCTGTCATTTCTAAGCCACTCGTCCGACAGCTGTTAAAATTATTGTGACAGTTCATTATATTGTTTACAAGCGTACACAACGTTTTGGTGAGAATTTTCCAGAAAAAAAGTTATTCGTGATGGAATTAAGGCGTGAGAGTGTGATTTTCTTATATTTGGCTAGAGAACCGCAAGTGTCTATCGTAAGAGCACTCCAGCATTTAAATGTAAATTAAAGGGCTGCAAATGTGACAATTTTCTCTGTTTATGCCATGGAGAGAAAACGCTCGTCATGTTGTGTCCTGTTTGATCAAACGTATAACAGTACGTGACATCCAACCAAATGCTCGATGTCTCGTCGTGTCGGTCACACTCAAACCCATCGTCATAACATGTAATGACCAATAAAAGGAAATGTTGAATAGTGTGTCATACAAAAATGTTCTATCAAAAAAACAACAACAATTATGAAATAATTGCCAACGAAAAAGACACACACGTGATGAAGGCAAAGGACAATCGCTACCTGCTTTTCCGATATGTGAAAAAATATTTTTTTTTGTAATAAAGAATTTCTTGAAGAATACTAAAATATTAAAGGTACTTCTAATAGGTCCACACAAAATTTTCACATTTCGTGGTTATTAACGAAACAATTTAAAATGTTAATCCTTATAAAAAACAATAATCCCCTGAAAATTTTTCTGTCCCCAAACTTTAATTTTAAAAGAACACTTTATGTAGATAGAAAATAAGCAAACAATATTTACCTCTTTTTTATGACCAACATTTTATGATAATCACCAATAAATTGGGATTGTTCAGTAAATATTTCATTTTTTCTATTCATTTGTTGATGTCTATGCACATTTTGTTATTGAACTCAATTTTATATTTACGCGGTGTTTGTTACTTCAAAAATACAGCACACACAAAAACACCCCTCACCGACGAAAGTAACACACACACACTCTCTCAATTTAAGCACACGTACACAAATGGCACACAATTTCGATGTCATCGTTGACACCCTGCATTTATGGAGAACACCATGCAAATATTCGAGTTAGCCATGCCACGATCGAACCTTAGACAATGACACACATGAATCAAAATGGGGGATGTTGCGGGTTGTTATTGCCTATCAAATACATAGCGCATGATTGAGTAGACAAAGTCAGTGTGTCAAAAAAAGCATAATTCATACAATTCGCCTTGTGCAGGCCTTTAATGTAAATAAATCTTTTGTGTCTCGTACCAACGCTCGTTACCGTGATACTGGTAGCGTAGCCCGACGTCAAGGAAGTAGACGGAAGAAAATAGCAACTTCAGCAGAAATGGTTCGAAAAGTAAAGAAGCGACTTGATCGAAACCTGCGTCGCAGTAGCCGAAATATGACTCGTGAGCTGAACATATCGCAACATTCCATTCGAAAAATATTGAAAAATGAAAATATTCTGGAGGGTATATTTAAGCCTTGGGCACGAAAATATTTTTGCCTCAGATCTTGGACATTCCTACAGGACTTCCAACGCACTCAGCACACGCCACCCAAGAATGGTTACCGAATGATGTTCCTCGCTTCATTTGCAGCACACAATGGCCACCAAAATCTCCGGATACAAATCCGTTGGACTGTTGTGTCTGAATTAATTTGGAAAGAAAGGTTGGCAGTAAAAAATACAAAAGTGTCGATCGGGCCAAAATACCACAGAGCAACATTCGGGCAGCGTTTAACGGTACCATTGGCTGTTTGAAGACCGTAATTCGTGCCACAGCTGACCAATTCGAACAAATCTAAACTTATTTTAAAATTTGATGCTATTTCCGACATTTTTTGCTTTCATTCAATAAAATTTTAAAATAAAACCAGTAAAGAAAGTCTTAAAGTCGGGCGTGCCGACTTTATGATACCCTACACCACTTTGCTAATTTAGTAGAGCTCCACATAACAATTAAATGTTTTTATGGGAGAATTCAATCATACACGCTATGATTATAATTGTAATTTAAAGTTCAGAGGACTAAATATGCCGAAGCATTTGAATCTTTTAAATTCGGAATTGTATTGCCCATTTGGTGCACAATTAATTTGAAATCGGTTAAAGATATATATGGGAGCTATATCCAAATCTGAACCGATTTCGATAAAATTTAGCAAATGTATTTCTGAGCTGTATTTGATATATTTCCCTGAATATCGTTGTTACGGAGTGCATATTACGGTTGTGGGTAACAAATATAACAAATCCGATGAACAATATATATGGAAGCTATACCTATATCTGAACCGATCTTCCCCAAATTTGACATACTAGCTTCTAGACTCAATTCGGTCGTAAGCGCCAAATTCCATCCCATTTGGGCAATTATTAGACCTTTGGTGCACAATAAAATGTAAATCGGACGAAGTTATATATGGGAGCTATATCCAAATCTGAACCGATCTCGATAAAATTTGGAAAATATATTTCAGAGCTGTATTTGATATATTTTCCCAAATATTGTTGTTGCAGAGTGCATATTACGGCTGCGGAGGACAAAAATAACAAATCGGATGAACAATATATATGGGAGCTATAGTTATATCTAAACCGATTTCGATACTTATTTTGAGGCCTAATTTGGGTGTATATGCAAAATTCCATACAATTCGGACTGATATTACACGTTTAGTGCACAAAAAAGGCAAATCGGACGAAAATATATATGGGAGCTATATCTAATTTTTGACCGATAATTTCAATAGGGTTTGTCCTAGGGCCAAACAAATGATCTGCGCAAAATTTCATCTGGATCGGACAATAAATGCAACCTGTATTTTGTTTGCAAAAATACATGGACAGACGGAGGGACGGATGGACAGACGGACGGACACGCATAAATCGACTCAGAATGTGATTCTATGCAGATCATCCAAAAGAACTATGGGTCTATTTCGTTTCCTTTTGCCTGTTACAAACAAATGCACAAAGACATAATACCCTGACCACCTTGTGGTGTAGGGTATAACAATAATAGAAAACAATGTTACAGCAACATTCATTCATTGATTCATTGAATATTATACAACTTTATTAATTCAAACAATTTGAATAAAGAAAAAAAATATGACATCATTTGTCTCTATGGTATCTCTCTGCACTTTTTATTATGTTGGCTATGATATGTATGGCATCGGGAAGTACTGTCGGTTTGTTATTCTCACATCAAGGGCTTCTTCATACGACAAATCATTATGGATCCAATTATTACTTATGTACACATGTAGGTGATGAAAATAGCTACGTGTGTGTACGAGTGTCTCATGACTGAAGTAAATATCAATTTCATTTTGTTGCCCCATCAATGACGAAGATAATAACCAACTACTGGAAAGGTATGACCCTTGACATTGCAAACTAACGTAACTAACGCAAACTAACGTGCTGCCATCCTTCTAGTTAGTTATTATTTATGATTTAAATTAGGGAAACACCTTTTAATGAGGGGTACTTTATCTCAAATGTAAGATTGCTACATCTATTTTCATGTGCTTAAAACATTTGTTATTTCTGAGCTCATTTCTCATATGTAAATCCATTTGTTTTCGCAAATGATTAGGGAAAAAATTATGTTAAAAAGCTTTGCGGTAAAAATGAAAACTAGTAACCAGTTATTTTAATTTCATGAGAGCTGTGACATTTAAAGAGAGAGAGAGAGAGAGAGTTATATTTAATAATTTATACTTAAAAAAAAAGCTCCAAATAGATGGAATGTTTATGTAGGAACTATATTAAAACTGCATATCTAGTTTATCTAAATTCGAGAAATAAACAAGTAAAAAAGCTGTAAGTTCGGCCGGGCCGAACTTTGAATACCCTCCACCATTTGGAACGAATTTGGCAAATCTCAAAAACAATAAAATCCGTTAAAAATTCTGTTAAAATCTTAAAAATACCGAATGTAGCTGTTACATTAGGGTCTATACGAGGACATGGACCTGCATAAGTAACTAAAAGTATTTTAAATGCGAATCATTCATACGAAGGCGTGTACCTGCACGGACACTTTTCTGTCATAGGTTGTAGTATCCATTAGGAACTTCAAAGACCAAATTTGAATAATGTCGCTGAAATCACCAAAATACCGCAAAGAGGGAGGTACCATTATGTGGGGCTATACCAAATCGTGGACCTACATGGCCCATTTTCAATAACAAAAATCCTGCAGGCATAATAAATATTTGAGTAGTTTTATCAACCTAATTCATTTCGTTCGGAAGCTAGAGTGATTTCCACAGACGGACGGACATCGCTAAGTCGACATAGAATTTTATGCTGATCAAGAATATATATACTTTGTGGGGTCTAAAATGAATATTTCAAGGTGTTACAAACGGAATGACAATCTTAATATATCCTATATACTATGGTGGAGCCTTGAATATCAATGAGATATCAATAATCTACATACAGGTCATTGATGACCGACGAGCGATTGATCAGAGATTGGCGTGGTAACAGTGATTATCGACCAACTACCGATGAGCTTTTAATGCCCTACCGACATTCTATCGTTCATACATTTTCCACTCATTGACCAGCTATCGACTTTAAGTCGACGAACACCTACGATCTATTACGAATATATGTTTACCTACTTACCAGCTGTCAACATGAATTTAAAAAGCGTTAAAAGCTATTGAAGAACTATCTAGGACCCTAGAGAAGAGCCTTCTTGCGGATATTGAGTTATTCGATGATTCATCGAGCGAAATTGACATAAGGTGTCCATATTTGTAACCTTTGTTTTGATTTGTTTAAGGTTCCAGTAAAGCTGACAAAAAAGCACGCAGTGTCAAGCTACAATAGCAGGAACCAGATATATAAAATTCTATCTTTATGTGTCATGAAGACGCAAGGAAAAAAACTTCGCCCTGACTTAATTTTTAATCAGCTGTCCAATTCTGATATTGCATTCCAAAATTATTTAAATATATCGCTATTTAAAGATTGCCTTAAAATACTTACTTACAAGCTTACTTGGGATTGATGCTAGATATTTTATAGTATTCATGCCCGTTTGGCATCATCAACGAAGCGGATTCTACATAAAAGTATTGAAATAACCTGAATTTGGTATTTCCAATTCAAACGGATTGTGAGTATTTAGTTTCTGCAGCAAATGTCCATCCATAGATCCGAGGTAATCAACAATTTCTTTCTTTCAACAATGAATATTAAGAACTAAATTTTTATTTCCCATTTTGTATTTGTTCAAATAAAATAAAAATAATAAAAAAAACATTTTTTTATTAATCAAAACTACTGACAAATAACACAGTGCAAAATATATTCATGTGGAAAACAAACAAATAAGGAAAAGTCAAAAGTCGGGCGGTGCTGACTATATGATACCCTACACCACTATGCATATCTGGTAGAGCTCCCATAACAAAAAAATTTAAATGAAGTAGTTCATTCGACCAATCAACTTTTGGCTTTATAGCAGTTATAATTTGGTTTCAGAGGGAACTAATATATGGAAAGTATATCCAATTCTGAATCGGTTTTCACTTAATTTGGCGGAGACATTTTAATCTTTAATATCAAATAACATTGATATAGAGTGCATGATATCGCTTCGAGAAGGATTATATTAAAAAAATATATATCGGATCTGAGTTCCACAAAATGGAAATGTACGTCCCGAAAATTAACTCCATTTCGGCTGATATTTTACACAATAAACCTAAAATCTAATTAAGGATATATATGGGAGCTATATCTAAATCTTAGCCGATCTCGATAATATTTGGTAAATGCATTTTCGAGCTCTATAAGATATCTGATACAAAATATAATTGTTGTCGAATGTATATTACGAATGTGAGAGACTTAAACACCAAATCGGATGAAACATATATATATGGGTGCTATGGCTATATCTGAACCGATTTTCTAATTTGATGTACTTGCTTCTAAACTGAATTCGGTCGGATGTACCATAATGCAGGTCATTTGGACTGATATTTGCCACTTGGTGCACAATTTAACCGAAATTGGTTGAAAACATATATGGGACCTATATCCAAATCTGAACCGATCTTGATAAAATTTGATACACTTATTTCAGAGCTGTATCTGATATCTGGTACCAAGTATCATTGTTGTCGAATGCATATTACGTATGTGACGGACTTAAACACCAAATCGGATGTAACATATATATGGGAGCTATAGCTTTATCTGAACCAATTTCCACCAAATTTAAAGTGCTGGTTTATACGATGAATTCAGTCGTAATTGCCAAAATTTAGTACATTGGGATTGATATAAGCCATTTGGTGCACAATAAACCCAATATCGGATAAAGATGTACTATGTGGGAGCTATATCCTAATCACAACCGATCTTAACAAAATTTAACAGCTCGAAAATACGAGTATTATCTGATGTCCGGTACCAAATATCATTCTTGTGAAATACATATTTATTTAAACCGCAAATTGGATTAAACATATATATGGGTGCTATAGCTATATCTGAACCGATTTTCGCCAAATTTATTGCACTTGCTTCTAAACTGAATTCGGTTGGATATGCCAAAATTCAGGTCATTTGGACTGATATTGGTTATTTTGTGAACAATTAACCCAAAATTGTTTGAAGATATATATATGGGAGCTATATCCAAATCTGAATTTTGATACACTTATTTCAGAGCTGCATCTGATTTCTGGTACCAAATATTATTGTTGTCGAATGCATATTACGCGTGTGAGGGACTTAAATACCAAACATATGGACGGAACATATATATGGGTGCTATAGCTATATCTGAACTGATTTTCTCCAAATTTGATTTACTTGCTGCTGGACTGAATTAATAAAAATTAATAAAAGGCCATAGGATGAGGGCATACATCTGTGGGCAAATACGTTTAACTTGATTCTTTTTAACTTGTTTGTGTTCCATATAAATGTGTTTTGCATTGTTTGATTTGTCAGTATTTTTGACAAATTATGAAAAAATATGTTTCTCATTTTTATTTAAATTTTGAACAAATACAAAATGGGCAATTAAAATCTAATTTTTAGTACTCATTGTTGAAAGGAAAAATCATTGAATAACTGGTGTCTATGAATGGAAATTCCAAATTCTCGCTTTCCAACATTTTATAAAGAAGAATCTGCTTCGCTGATGATGCCAAACGGGTGTGAATACTATCAAATATCTAACATCAATCCCAATTAAGCTGGTATGTTTTTTAAGACAATCTTTTAATCGCGATATATTTAATTAATTTGGGAATTCAATATTAGAGTTGGACAGCTGAAAAACTAAGTCAGTGGAAGTTTTTTGCTTTCGTCTTCATGGCACATAAAGTTAAATTTTTTATCTCTGTTTCCTGCTATTGTAGCTTAACTGTGGGTGTTTTTTGTCAGATTTACTGGATCCCTAAACAAATGAAAACAAAGGTAACAAAAATTGATATCTTACTTGAATGATATCTTACTTCAATCATCAAATAACTCAATACCCGGAAGAAAGCTCATCGATGACTCTTGCATAGTTGTTCGACAGCTAACCGATCGTTTTTTAACTTCATGTTGATAGCTCGTAAGTAGGTAAACATATATTCGTAATAGATCGTAGATGCCCGTCGACTGTAAGTCGATAGCTTGTCAGTGAGTGGAAAATATCTCAGCGATAGCATGTCGGTAGCACGTTTAAAGCTCATCGGTACACAGAGAAAAAAATTAACCTTATACAAGGTTAGATTAACCATAAATAAACATGATTTGGAGTCTACGTTATGTAAGGTTAATTTAAACATTTTCTTGTTGACTGGTATTTAAAAATAATCATCGTTAATTTAGCTATTCCATGATTGACTTTTTTAACCACGAAAATTGTTGATATTGAAAAAAAATTGTTGTTTTAACAATGCACTGTTAAATTTTTGTAATCATGAGAATTGTTAATAATAACATTTCATAGTCAGTTTGTCTAAACAGTTCATATGATAATTTTTAATAATAAATTAACCTTTGTTTGAATAAAACAAAAAAAAAAATGTAATTTTTACAAGTTTATTTATTATTTATTTATTAATACCGCATATTTCTAAAATATGTATTTCCATTACAAATTGTATGTATATTTAAGGGAAGGCTGGTAAAGAAAGATATATGTTTAATATAAATTTTATTTTTTAACGCCTTACCGAGTGATTTTAAATTATATTCCTCAGCCATTGTGAAAAAAAACTACAAAACGCCAAACGCCGACTGCAAAAACAGAAGAAGAAACTAGTAGTTAATAAAAGCAAATAGTATTGTCACAACTTACCAAAAATGTATGCACGAGCACCCAAAAAAAAGACACCAGAGAAAAAAAACAACTGAGAAGAAAAAACAAAAAGATATACATAAATATGAACACTGTCGCTTCAACAACAACGTACATTTGGTGACAAATGCATACGCTAATGTACGTCGTAGCAGCCACAAGCAAAGACAAAAAGAACACATATGTATGAATAAACACTCACACATTATTTCTCTCCTCATTTTTGCTTGTCGCTGCATATACGTTGTTGTTGCTTGTTTTTTTCATGTATTACCGTTATTTTTGTTTCTTTATTGTAATTTATAGTTTATTTGATAGACAAATCTGATACAATTTGAATATAGCAATAACACATTACTATGTTGAAATAGTATCAGGGTTTTCTATTAAAACAAATACAAATTACAATCAAATATATTTGTTAATTTCACCAGCTTTTACTTACCTTTATACCAAGCACTATTCCCACGAGCACGTGCACTACTCCCTTGCACTATTCAATACCAACTAAAGAAGTGATTGTCTATTTGATCTTTCTTACACATATTCAGACCACAGAAAGATATTCGATAAAGAGGAGGAGGGGGAATATGACAGTCACATTCGTTGCAACTTCGTATATTGTAATATTGAACTTCGTCAAACACAAAGCAGTTCAACATTGTTGACCACAACAGAGCCGAAGGCTCTTTAAATGTTTATGTATCTCTCACATTTTTCCGTCTCTCTCAAAAAACAACAACCTTATACAACGTTAATTAAACTATTTTTCATCTACATTTGACCTTATATAACGTTATTTTGTGTTTGTAATCTCAAACATTTACCATGAAAAAATTAACCATGCACATGGTTAAAAAAGTCATTGTATTTTCGGCTCTGTGTAGTTGATCGATAATTCATTGTCAATCGCTCGTCGGTCATCAATGACTCGTATATAGATTATTGATGTCACATTAGTTTTCAAGGTTCCAATTTATTTAGAAAACATTCCAGTCGAGACATTCTTATTCAGCCTCCGTAGTTTGTCTAAACGAGTTAGTACCTAGGTGATCTAAATACACTAAAATCATAGCAAAGCAAATAAGCAAAGGCTATAGTCGGACGGAGCCGATTATTTCATACCCTACAACCATAAATACTAGAATAAAAATTCCCTAAAGAAACATCCTCATATCTACTACATAATAAAAGCAAATGTTAAATCTAATTGCGATCATCAAAAGGAACTAAGGGTCTATAGTTCCTTTTGATGATCTGCATAGAATCACGTTCTATGTCGATTTATGCATGTCTGATCAAATCATTTGTTTGATGGGACGAATCCTATTAAAACTAGAGGTAATCGGTCAAAATTAGATATAGCTCCCACATATATCTTTATCCGATTTGCCTCTTATTGTGCACAAAACGAGTTATATTACCCCAAATAGTTCTCCACATCCGTAATATGCACTCCGCAGCAACGACATTCGGGGAAATACATAAAATACAGCCAAATTTTATGGAGATCGGTTCAGATTTCGATATAAGAGTTGCTCCCATAGATATCTTCGTCCGCTTTACCTTTTATTGTGCACTAAACGTGTGATATTGGCCCAAATGGAATGGAATTTGGCACTTGATGATAGGTCAGAAGGTCTTTCTGAATTGGTGAGAATTATCATAATATATGCAGACGTTCTTGAGATATAATTGGTTTAACTAACATTCCCTTCTTTGATACATGTGTTTATTTGTTTATATTTTGCTATATACAATATTTCTGGAGCTCGGGGTAAAGCCATTGTAATTCCAAAAAGTGCAAGAAAAGAGCTACATAGTTGCTTCGCGTGGCCGAAAGTCGTGAACTGCCGAATTTGGTTTTCTCCGATGAGAAAATATTCGTTGTCCAGCAGTTTGTAAACAAACAAAATGATCGTGTATACTTGCCAAAGGTGTCAGATAAAAATGTGCACCTTCGGTTGGCAACCAGAACTCAAGCGCCGGCCATGGTGATGATGTGGGCCGCCATGAAAGTCGATTGTCGCTTTCCGCTCGTATTGATCGATCGTGGCATCACAATTTATGCCGAATATTATCGCGAAAATATTCTGGAGGGTCTATTCAAGCCTTGGGCACGCAAACCTTTTGACCGCAGACCTTCGACATTCCAATAGGACTCAGCACCATCGATCTGGTAAATAGGTGGATTTGTAAGCAGTAATCTCGGCCAAAAATTGGTTAAGAACACCACATAGAGTATAAAATTATTAAAAAATAATAAAAAATATTCCATAAATATATTGTAGCCTCTTCAATTGATTGCTACTTCAAGACATTGATATGTTTGAAATACTAATTGCATCATCCCTATCGATTTCCAGCAAATATTTTTGTATCGAAATTGTTTTCTTATTAGTATACAATTTATTCCATATTTTTAACATTCTCTTTTGTCTCCTTCTTCACAACCCGCGGATATATTCGCACATTGGAATGACATATCCTGTCGCCGCCAAAACAAAAACCACCCAACAACAACTTGTAAGACGATGATACTATTGCCGATAATATCCATATACGTTAAAAGATTCTGAAAATAAATTGAATGTGATTTTAATGGTAAGTCATTTTTCAATCTCACAAATTCCGACCCATGAAGAGAAATAAAATATGCCACTGAGAACGGAAGCTATAGAAATGTATACGGTATTTAGCGTCATGCAAATCATTCATTGCAGGAAATTGCGTAAATTTTTCATTTTTTTGTGCAACACGATATGATTGGCAGATGTGTGTAAGTACATATGTACGCAATGTGAATTTCGAGCGATAAATGTGAAAAAAAAAGAAAAATAAAAATATGAGAAAGCAAACAATGTTATAACGATCAATCAGATTTTTTAGATGTAATTCAAAACATTATAATTGTAATTTGAGACTTCTATTATCTGTGTGATACCTATTAAGAACTCCATGTTTTAAACGATTCCGTTTAACATTGGGGCTACAAAATCTTGAATCCTATGTGGGGGAGGTGCCAAAAGAAATGGTCCGATGTCTACCATCTTTATAAAAGATCTTGTGTTGATGGAAATATTGAGACGTGCCAAGTATGAATGGAATCGTATGTTAATTTCGGGTTTTATGAGCTTTATGGGTATTAATTTAAACCTTTGTGGAGAGGTACCCGAAGGAGTGGATATATTCCATCTTCACGGCAGATCTTGTGTTAGAAAAAGTAATGTAATGTATAATATGTTAAGGGATCCGGATGCTTATTTGTATACCCCCCATCATTCTATGGACGTAAAATTCTAAGACGATTTAGCGATGTCCGTCTGTCTGTCTGTTGTAATCACGCTATCTTTCGAACGAATTGAGATATAAGGCTAAAATGTTGCATACATACATAGTTTAGCAGTAGGCAGGTTAAGTTCGTAAATGGACCATGTCGGTTCACGTTTTCATATAGCCCCCATATAACGGTACTTCACGATATTCGGTATTTTCATGATTTTAGCGACATTATTTACCGGAATTATTTTAAATATCATATTTGAAGTTCATAATGGGTATTACAGCCTATGACAAAAATTTGTGTATGCAAGTCCACGTCTTCGTATATCCCCTATATAGCGGTAATTCCCGATAGTCGGTATTTTGATGATTTTAGCAACATTTTTCATGATATTCGCGACATTATTCACCGTAATTGTAACAAATTTCGCATTTGAAGTTCGTAGTGGGTACCACAGCCTATGACTAACAATTTCGTATGCACGTCCACGACTTCGTATAGTCGGTTTTCACTTAAGTTATAGTTTTCGGATTTTTTTGTATTTGTTCAAGTTTCTTCGAAATAGTGGAGGGTATTAAAAGTTCGGCCCGGCCGAACTTATCTGCTTTTTTACTTGTTGATTTTATATTGGTTTTGGTTATTCAAAATATTGATCTTGGTGGGGAAGTAACAAATATATCTTCATCCGATTGTAGGTTTCTTGTGCACCAAATGGCTAATATCAGTCCAAATGGTGTGAATTTTGCTACGTCCGACCGAATTCAGCCTACAAGCGTGTGCTTCAAATTTGGTGAAATTCGGTTCAGATAATTCTATAGCTTCCATACATATATTTCATCCGATTTTCGTGTTTAAGTCCCTTACATTCGTTATATGCACTCCATAAGACTGATATTTAGCTCCAGATATCAGATACAGCCTAGCAATTCATAGATAAAATTTTACCAAGTTCGGTTCAGATTTGGATATAGCTCCCATATATATCTTCATCCGATTTTAGGTTTCATGTGCAAAAAAAGGCTAATATCATTCCAAATGGTGTGAATTTTGGCATATCCTACTGAATTCAGTCTAGAAGTAAGTACACCAAATTTGGTTAAAATCGGTTCAGATAGCTCCCATATATATGATTCATCTGATTTGGGTCTTAAGTCCCTCATATGCGTAATATGCATTCGACAACAATGATATTTGGTACCAAATATCTTATAGAGCTCGGAAATACATCTGGTAAATTTTATCAATATTGGATCAGATTTGAATATAGCTGACATATATATCTTCAACCGATTTCGGGTTAATTGTGCGCCAAATGGCCAATATCAGTCCTAATGACCTGAATTTTGAATTTTTTTTTTTCAGTCGGATGA